AAACAATCCCAAACACACCGCCCCGGGAAAACGAAGGATGGTTCGTAAGAAGCATTCAAGGTCCTGAGTGGCCTAGCCCTCTCCAGATTCAACCCCATAGACAATTTTTGGGGGGAGTTGAAAGTCTGTTTTTGCCCAGCGACACCCCCAAAAAACATCACTGCTCTAGAGGAGATCTCCCATGGAGGAATGGGCCAAAATACCAGCAACAGTGTGTGAAACCTTGTGAAGACTTACAGAAAACGTTTAAACCTGTGTCATTGCCAACAAAGGGTATAAACAAAGTATTGAGAAACTTTTTGTTTTGACCAAATACTTATTTTCCACCATAATTTGCAAATAAATTCATAAAAACCCTACAATGTGATTTTCTGATTTTTTTCTCATTTGTCTGTCATTTTGACTGTACCTATGATAAAATTAAAGGCCTCTCTCATCTTTTTAAGGGGGGAGAACTTGCACAATTGGTGGCGACTAAAATACTTTTTTTCCCCACGGGATCTTGACATTGGGATGGTGTGCGTGTATAAAGTAAGAGAGGGAGGGAAATTGATTTGTGTATATTATGCTGGTTGTTCTGTAAAATTAGTTTTTAGTTCTATACGTTCTTTGCCATTTGTTCTGCTCGACCCTGTAAGGTTCTGTATCTGCATTCTTGCCCTGGTGTATTAATTTGGTATGTGAATATTCATTGCTCTATTTTCTCCTGTTACAGAACCACTCCCATTCTACTTTCTTTGTCTGTCTATGTATGTCAATAAAGTATCTCTGTGTTGAACTCTGAGATTGAATCATTCCCAAAATCCTCTAACCGGGTGGGTTTGCAGCGGGTAACGAACATCAAAATACGGGGGGCCAGGTCGCTTTTTTCAAAGGGGTGTGTATTACTGAGCACAATGGTGTGCAATTATTGATGTACTAATTACATGATATATAGTTCCCCTTGTCTGTCCAGTGCCCTGACCACTGTTTGTTTCAATGTACTTATGGAGACAACACTGAGTGACCTGTTCCTGCCAAAATAAACCCACAACCCTTGTGGGACAAATTTTTGAATTGATGTTCTCATATGAATTTATTGTTTTCTGCTATGAATCTGTTATTTTGAGGTTTGATGCTGTAAAACGAATTGTCAATTTTCTCTGTGGACTATGGAAGAGGAGAAATTTATCTTTTCAATGGAAGGGTCGTATTCCTGCCCTATAACCCCCAAGGGCCTGGGGCTGGGTTTCTACTAAGCTAACATTTATTTATTTGGTCATACCAAAGATCCCTTTAGCCATTAAATTAGAATTTTAGGACCCCTGTAGGTATTAAAAATATATTTAAAAAAAATACTGCTATTTTCCCATTCTTATTCTGCATTAAAGGGAACCCGGGGGACGGACGGTTGTAGACATGACATGGACCATAGCTGCAGCCACCTCATCCAGTTCAGCTTGAGTTCTTCCGTTCAGCTTGAGTTAGTGGTTTATTGAAAATATTGAAAAATACATTATGAAATGTTTGAGAAACTGCCCTGTCAGGATTGTAAATGAAGTGTTAACATTCAACATTCATTTATTGAAATTTCCCCACCCCCACCCCTAAGCTGTATACCTAAACTAATGTTGTGGACTGTGTTGCGCATTGCCCAAAAGTCACACTGGTGTCCCTCTTCCTTTTCCACAAAGCTTTGAAGATTTGCTATGCGAGTGTTAGCCAATCCAGATTTAATGCGCTTACTGTTTAAGCAATTGAGATTCAGTAGACTGTTGATAAAGGGTTTTAAACAGAACTAAACTAACTTAGAAGGTTGGCATGTTTTTAAGAAAAGGAACAAGGTTTTCTATATAATAAGAGGGGGACGCTACGACGATAGGATTAATCATTAAATGTTTAAATATTCTCTGGCATTCTGTTGTCTTCTTCTTGATGGCAATCCTTCCTGTTTCTCCAAATTAAAGTATCTGTTTCGTCTTGAGTGTCTTTCCCAGATGTTTTTAGAATATTTTGCACTTGTTTTATGTTTCTATGACAATCAAAGCAAAAGTTATTGCCAAACAAAAGATTTAAAGGCATTTTTAAATGATTTGATTAGTTCTATCAAATCAACACAAAACACCTGCTATATACGGTCCCACCGTTGACAGTGCATGTCAAAGCAAAAACCAAGCCATGAGGTTGAAGGAATTGTCCGTAGAGCTCCGAGACAGGATGGTGTCGAGGCACAGATCTGGGGAAGGGTACCAAAAAAATGTCTGCAGCATTGACGGTCCCCAAGAACATTCTTAAATGGAAGAAGTTTGGAACCATCAAGACCCTTCCTAGAGCTGGCCGCCCGGCCAAACTGAGCAATCAGGGGAGAAGGGCCTTGGACAGGGGAGAAGGGCCTTGACCAAGAACCCGATGGTCACTGACAGAGCTCCAGAGTTCCTCTGTGGAGATGGGAGAAACCTTCCAGAAGGACAACCATCTCTGCAGCACTCCACCAATCAGGCCTTTACGGTAGAGTGGCCAGACGGAAGCCACTCCTCAGTAAAAGGCACATGACAGCCCACTTGGAGTTAGCCAAAAGGCACCTAAAGACTCTCAGACCACGAGAAACAAGATTCTCTGGTCTGATGAAACCAAGATTGAACTCTTTGGCCTGAATGCCAAGCGTCACGTCTGGAGGAAACCTGCCACCATCCCTACGGTGAAACATGACAGAGCTTGAGAAAATCTGCAGTGAAGAACGGGAGAAACTTCCCAAATACAGGTGTGCCAAGCTTGTAGCGTCATACCCAAGAAGATTTGAGGCTGTAATCGCTGCCAAAGGTGATTCAACAAAGTACTGAGTAAAGGGTCTGAATACTTACGTAAATGTGATATTCCCGTTCTTTTTTATTTTATAAATTTGCACACCAAAAAATAGAAACCTGTTTTTGCTTTGTCATTATGGGGGTATTGTGTGTAGATTGATGAGGGGGAAAAAACTATTTAAAACATTTTAGAATAAGGCTGTAACGTAACAAAATGTGGAAAAAGTCAAGGGGTCTGAATACTTTCCGAATGCACTGTAAAACCTACTTTACCTCGTTCTCTAACTGTACTCTGGAAAATAATGCAACTCCATGGAAGGCATAGTGTGGATTAAGCGGGAGCTAGAGGGATGGTTGGCCATG